CCTTAAAGAGACAGCACATAGCATCTCTCAGAAACTTCCCCAGCAGCGAGCACACACAGTCTCTGTGTCACACATGCTCTGTCTCTTTCACACACACCTCCCAACACATACTTGTATTATTGTTGTTGTTACTTCTTGGTACTTCCTGCAATGCACATATATCCTCTATAATGTTGTTCTTTCAAAGTGTGTTATTTTAGTGTTTTGACTGGTCTATGCATTTCATAATTTTTATTTCTCTTACACTTGAATTTAATTCTTTGAATAGCGAGTTCCAAAATGACTAACATGTCCTGGCTGGAGTAATTATCCCTATGGTAACTTTTTAAACAAAAAATATATATATAGGTTTTTTGTCTCTACTGGTGACGCACATCCACACATTACCTTGGTGCACATAACAAAATTTATTCCGCACACGGGTGGAAAAAATTAGAGGGAACATTGATCTCCGCCAAACATGGCACAGAGCTCATTGTAAAAGCAGCAAGTCTGCGGCTTGGCACCAAGTCAACTGTTGGCCTCCCTGGCCTTACAGTATGCCTGCTTCAGTTCCTTTGCTTTCATGCAGCACTGCTGCTGATCCTCATCATACCCCCCCTTTGCCTATATTCCCTGTGCAATCTTTTTCATAGATATCCTCATTTCTATGACTGGTCTGTAGCTGTTCCTGCACATCCTCTTCTCCCCACAGGCCCAGGAGATCCAACACCTCCTGTCTACTTTAGGCAGGAGCATATCTGGAGTGTGTAGATGGCCTGGTGAGCTGCACGCAACAAGGGAGAGCTGCTAGGTGTGCTTGTCAAACTGGGCAATCAGGAAAAGGCATTTCAAAAATACATGGGCGTTTTAAAAGGGCGGGAGGTGCTTCCACTCTCCATGACCCCTGTCCAGTGTAGTTTGCAATTGTGATCAGAGTGGTCAGTGTCAGGCATTGTGGAAGAGCTGCTGGAGGACTGTTAGGGTTGAATGTAGACCCTGAGTAATCTATGTCACACTGCATCAACCACGGCTCAACGCCATTCAGGGAGCTGGCATCACTGCTGCTGGAACATGGCGCTTACATTGGCAGGAGACAAATTTGAGTGTGGACACATGCATAACTAGGTCATTACAAGGCAACCCATGACAACCTAACTTTGTAGCTTAGACCAAGCCTTAGACTGTATACTGTTTGGGGCAGGGACCTTGCCTTATGAGGTTTCTGAGAGGCATTTAACACACTTTTGGATGATATAAAACAAACAACATCAGAAGTAACTTTCTTAAAGTTTTGTAATTAATTGATGTGCATTTATATGCATCAACACTTTTTAATCTCTTAAAACAGTTTTTAAATAAGCCTCTGAAAGGGCAAAACATTTTACAATCATGTTAATGTATTTCACTTTCACCCAATATCAGTGTTATGTTACTTGGTACTAAAAGAAAGAACTGTGCTGTATACACCTCACAAATTTTCATAATACTTTTCCTTTTGTGAAATGTGCATCTATACAGCTTACAAAAAGCTCAAGACAAGCAGCAGCAAATTTATTATTACCTTACAACAGGGCTAGGCAACCTATGGCACGCGTGCCAAAGGCGGCACGCGAGCTGATTTTCAGTGGCACTCACACTGCCTGGGTCCTGGCCACCGGTCCGGGGGACTCTGCATTTTTATTTAATTTTAAATGAAGCTTCTTAAACATTTTAAAAACCTTATTTACTTTACATACAACAATAGTTTAGTTATATATTATAGACTGATAGAGACTTTCTAAAAACGTTAAAATGTATTACGGGCACGCGAAACCTTACATTACAGTGAATAAATGAAGAGTCGGCACACCACTTCTGAAAGGTTGCCGATCCCTGCCTTACAAGATGTAAGTTTGTTGCAAGAATGTTTATATCAAACTCTAACTGAATTCAATCTTATTGACACTACTAAATATTGCTCACTGTAAAGAATCTCTTACCGGATCTAGGTTCTTAAAAAGAAGAATGTCCTTGCAAGCCTCTTGCAATCTGTTTCGTTGATCATCTGTTTTGGGGTAAATAATCTGAAAGATATAATAGAAATTCCTGGTTTAATTTTCTTTTCTCAATGCAGAACCTTAAAAATGATCATCATAAAAGAGCACATAGCTGAAACTCTGAACTAACCCTGCTAACAAAGTTTATATAATAGTATGACACCCTTGGCAGCATTCTTGCCTCAAAACCCTAAGGACTTGGGGTACATATTCAATAAAGACATTACACCACAGCAGTGCTTAATTTGTAAGGAAAGAGGTGCCAAGGCTCAAGCAATTTTTTACGTTCATAACTGATGCACCAACCCCAGAGATGCCAGAACTATGAACAGCCAAGCCTATGGGTGCCAGGGATTTAGCACTGCACCACAGTATTAGGGAGAGCAGCACTAATCTGTTTGTGCTTATCCAGCCACTATACCATTAACATCCAATTCATTTTTGCAAACCCTCATGGGATACCTTGAGAGTTCAAATTTTGTTATCTAAAACAACTTACTATTGTTCTCAGTTTGTTTTTCAAACATATTGGGGTGATATGTAACACCAAAGTCATGTGTCCCATTGGAAATGTTTTTTATTTGCCATGAGTATTTCCCATATCATTTCCCAACACTTTGTACATCAGAGCTGGGTTAATTTACATCAGAATTTCCACACAGTAAATAACAAACTGCATAGCATCCAAGCGAGGTACAGATATACTAAATTAGAAAAGAAGAGCGACCCATCCCAATTTAGTAACTTGATTGGCAACCAAATTGTTTGTTTTGTTCACAGTCTTAAGAAGGTGTAATGAAGCATCATAGCTATAACACCATATGTAAGGTATCACTTTTAAATTACTTTTAAAATAATGCAATCAACTGATATGGGGCACAGCTTCAAAAATTGCCTCAAAATCATACTTGCACTACTTTATCCTCAAAGTAAATATAATACCTTTGAAGGGGTGACTTACTGAGTTGTTAAAAATATTAGTTTTGTTAATCCAAACAAATAACTATTGCATTTCTAAATTAGAAAATAGCTATGTAATTTTATCTTTTCCCCCCTGGAAAGATATTGATACTGCTGCAAAATTATAAGGCTATTAAGTGACTACTTTAAGAGCATAGGGCCCTTTGGGCAAATATATCATTGAACAAGAAAGGTCTCATCAAAAAACTAGGTATCACAGGGGAGATCACTCAAAACATTTTTTAATATTTTTTAAAATTGGGCCCTACACAGGGACCTAGTATAGGAATTAAAGGGATGATAGTTCTTTGGAACAAAGTCTCATACACTATCAAAGAATACTGAAAAAGAATAGTTACATTGGTTCCATAACTACTATCATCAGTGACCTCTTTTTTTTTTATTTCTAATGTCTGAAAACTGAGAGGTAAGCATTTCACCCAATGAGTTACATACCCTTGACTCGGTGTCGTCCTCTTCTTCATCAGGATTGTAAGCTTCTGCACATACTAAAACAAAACAAAAATGAAGAGTTTAAGCTGATTCTCAAAAGGCAACATATTCTATAAGCATTTACAGAAATAATAATAGGAAACACACCACGTGCAATACTGAATTGTAGTAACTGATAATTTCTCTCTATTCTTTTCCTGTTAAGGGCTACTATTTCATGAAGCATATTATTGTTGTTAAATATTTATATTACACTAGTGTCCAGAGATCCAAACCAGGTATGGAGCTCCACTGTGCTAGGCACCCTACAAACTGCCTACAATGTCCATTTTATAAAACTTTACAGTTTCAATAATTTAACGAGCCCAATACAACTCTCTATGGAATCAACGGAAAGCCTCCTGCTGATTTTACTACAGTTGGATTGGGTCCAAAGTAAATGGAAATATGCCCATAAAAAGGAAACTTTAAATCTGTTGAACAACTACAGTATTGTATCTCTAAATAAACAAAATATTCTTATAAACAGTGTTATGGTAGCTGTAGTATTTCAGTGATGACTGAGTCAGGTTTTAGGGTAACCTATTTACTTAAAAATAACTCAAAGTAAACAGTAGTGATATGCTGTAAATCTAGCATGGCTGTATGCTCTGTCTCACACTCTGCAACTGGTTTCTGTCTGTCTGTGTGTGAGAGAGTTAGAGTGTCAAGAGGAAGCATAGTGCAGCACTGCATAGTGTCTTGCAGCATGTATAAACACAACAGACTCCCTGCGACAGTATAGCGCACTTCCCATTTCCCCCCGACCTCCAGTTCTCTACACTAACAGATTCTAACAAAAACATTTATTTAACTTGATATCTTTTATGTTATTATCACAGTATCAACAGGTCTCAGTCAGTCTTTTCAGACGTTTTAACAGCCTTCTAGATCTATTGAGAAGAAAACTGAATTTAGGCTTATCTATGTTTTAAATAATCTTTTTAGTCTCTTCACACAACCGGAAGCTAGATCAATCCATTAAGGTATTTTTGTCCTTTTAGTGTATCTGTTCTCCCTTCACTCTTCCTTGATATATGTTCATTCTCACTCTGTCTCATTCTTAGGTCATTAGCAGGTTCCTTCAAAAAAATGGTTTCCATTTTCTATCATAACTGACTACTGATGATGTGACGTTTCTTTAATAACTGTAGTTTGTTCTAGCCAATGCAGAATCTATGGTTTATTAATTGATAAAGGCCTTATTCTTCTGTTATAATTTTGATGTGTCAATCTTTTTGCCAGGACTAGAGAGTTATCCGTCTTCCTTTGGTTAGGTCTTATATCTTGTAATTGAGTATGTATATATTTATTTTATAACTGTTCAGCCAGTGGTTTTCAACATTGCAGAAGCATTGCTCTGTAGTTGAATGGCACTAAATGTGCAATTTCTTTTCCATCAATTGCTTATTTGAGCTACTTCTTCACTCTATAGACTCCACAATCTACTAATTCATTTGCTTGTGGGTATTTCAAGACGAGATATTCTATGCTGAAATTCATAAATTTTATACTCTATTCTTGAGCTGTGGTCCATTGCGTTATTATAGTCCTTGAAATGTCATAATGTGCAAACATGGTTTTAACATTCCTGAACACAGTTGATGCTGTGGTATCAAAGTGTCACTACTGAAAAGTTGCTAGAAAGTTGCTCCATTATGATCAGGAGATCATGTTTTCCCAATACAAACAAATCAGCTCTGACTATGTCCTATGGGATTACAGGTTGCCCATGCAGTGTTAAAGGTTCTCTATGTTGCGCATTTCTGAACTCCAGACAAGTTACACACTTCCTCACTATTACTCCAATACAACTATTAATCTGTGATCAGAATACACTTCTAGAGCTCTTTTTTGACCAAGTCATACCTAGGTATCTTTCATTCCATTCATGGCTGATAGCTTGTATTACTTTTCCTTTCTAGCTCATCCCACATTCCTGGTTAAAAAGCACGTGAAGCTTTTATCATACTCACATTCACTGCTACTGCTCACTCCAGATCATCATTTTATGTAATAGTCACCATCATTAGCCATTCTATTCTACAAAGCATCCCTAGTTTCATGTGATACAGTATAGTATGTATAATTATCATGCAAGTACTAAAAGGAAACATAATATAGACAGCCACCATTTTCCCCCACAGCTTAGTTTGACAAAGTAAAACTGTTTATTTAAATCTTCCAATTGTGTACCATCTTGTATCACTAAGCTCATTCACTGAGATGGACATTCGAACACACAGAACCCTGAATAAATCAACAAGGCTAGGATTAAAGAAAAATTCCAAAGAAAAATATGAATTACTAAAGTGTATTAGATTACCAATACCACACATGCTGGGAATTGCATACAAGTGAAATATATTGCCTTGCCAGGAGGATGATTTGGGCTTTGTAAATTATGGTTCATCCATTCATTCGAGGTGAAATCCAGAAAGTATTTCACTGATCACTATATACAGTATGTTCTATCTTATAAAAACAAATGGAAATAAAATTACTTCAGAAATGAATCAATTTCTAAATTAAAATAAATATATAGCTCTCTTACACTCAGAACATAGAAAAGGTAATATATATACTATTTATATGGTAGCTATCCATCCTCTTGCTATACTGAAAAATTAAGAGGACTTCAATAACTAAATAATTAATGAGACTGTATATAATTCATTACACTAAACATATGGAGAAAGAAAAGTCAACATGCTTTCACCATTGGTAAGCACTACATTTATGCATACTTTGCATACACAAGAAAATATTATTAGAAAGAGATCATGGTGTATCATGCTGATCGTTTTAAATAATTTTTCTACTCCACACTGTGAGTAGGGAATATACTTCCTGTATAGTTTACATTTAATCCTTGCAATATTTATTATCAGTTTCTGACTTCCACTTTGTCAAGTTTGGATTTTTTTAAATTTACACACACACACTCACGCACGCGCGCGCGCGCACACACACCATTCTCTTTACATACTTCGTCTTTAATCTGTTCAGAAATATGTGGTTAATTGCAGCTCACAGTACTACAAACATAATTTATTTACTGATTCTAGACATTTTGGTACAAGAATTAGTTACAATAAAATTAATTGCACAGGAAAGTCTCTTAAAATCATATCCTCATTATGGAATAAAAACTGTAACAGTAACCATTAAAGCATATTTCACACTTCCAGAAGTTCATTAGTGTAATGGAAGAGCTATCACTTACTAAAGGAATCACTCAGTTTCTTGTATCAAATGACTATCCAGAAATAACTCTATAAGATAAAGGTTGAGTAGTGTTATGTAACATGTATTTAAGGCAGCAACATTATCATATAAAAGGTTCCAACTGATTACTGGTGTATAACAGCACTTAGTGATCCAAGACTCCTCGCAGAAGATAGTGTGTGTACAGACACCATGGACAGTGGCCTTGGAATGCAGTTATAGTCAGAAAGAACAGCAACGTCGATTTAGCAGGTCTGGTGAAGACACAATAATTCGATGGCAGAGCACTTTCCTGTCGACTTCAGTACTTCACCTCTCCTAGAAGCAGACGCTAAGTCGAAGGGACAGTGTCTCCCGTCGACATAGCACAGTGTAGATACCGCTTTAAGTCAATGTAAGTTATATCACTCGGTGGGGGGGGGGGTGATTTTTCCATATGCAGCCCACAATGTGTAATAAGTTGAGAATCACTGACTTTTATACTATTATTCCTGGGGAAATTCTGCATCACTGCACATGGGCAGAATTCATGTGCCACACAGATTTTTTTTTTTTTAAGCAGAAAATACATTCTGCCAGAAAGGTGCTGCAATTATGTTTTTCACCCACCAGGGGCCACTGTGATGTCACAACAGAGCAGCTGCTCCCAGGCAGGAGCAGACCAGCTGCGGATAGGGAAGAGAAAGAGGCTGCCTTCCTCACAGTGCCCTGCCTGTGGGGCCAGGTCAGGAGGAATGGGATTGGGGAGGGAGATCGACAGTGTGGGACACATGGGGCTATTCAGAAAGACTAGTGGGGGAACAGACTGGGGCAGGAGTTGAATGGGAGTGGGGGTGCAGGAACATATGGGGACGGGGCAGATGTGTCTGGCTGAATGCGAGAGGCTAGGGATCAGTTAGGGTCTACATGGGGGAGGCTCCCTAACAATCTCTCTCTGCTCAAAAAAAAAAGCCCTGTTCCATACTTCTCCCACCCACATCCAACAGCCCTCAAAGTTCACCCCCAGACTCCTTCCCAGCAATGACTTCCCTCTCCCTCAGCTCATCCATTACCTCTGACTCCCCCAAGTCTTTGCACTGCTTCTGGAGGGTATGGTAAATAAGTTTCTGTTTTATAGTTTCAATGAATTATTACTCAGAATTCTGTATTAATATGCCTTGTAAAGTGTCTATTTGTCAAAAAACATTTCCTGAATCTTTTTTGTTGTCTGTATTGTTACAGACATAATTGCTGACACGTATTTTGAAATAAATTACTAAAATAATTGAAATTGGCCTGATTATATTGTGTTATTTTGACAAATATAATATCCAGAATTTTAAAATATTTGTTCAGAATTTTTTGGCGTAGAATTCCCCCAGGAGTAATACTATATACCATAAAAATGGTTGAAATAATTGAAAGCCAAAAAGTATTAAAATATTGACAGTTGATTTTTACTGAACTATCATGTGGGTGTCAAAAGCTTTGGTGGCGCAATAAGATTGCAAGAGATGGACATAAATTTTATATACAACCAGGCCACCTTAAGATGGAGCAAAGTGGTACTTGATTTGCAAATAGGTCATGTCTCTTTGGGATTTGCCACAATGATGATTTAATGAACAATGTAAATATTCATAACAAACTATTTAGATAATTTCCACTATATTTAATGACCAAATATATTACAATAAATAGAACAGAAAACTAATCTAACCACTTACTACAAAACTACTACAGCCAAAATTTTCAAACCTAAGTAAGAGTGATCTGATTTTCAGAGATGCTAAGCACCCACAATTGACTC